TATTTTATAAGAATCACACTTTTAAAGATTATTTGCGTCAATGCGGTAGCCTGGCATCTTTAAATAATAATTAATGAAGCTACACATTCATAAAATTTCCCCATGGCATATGGCACCTTCTTGGCTTCAAATGAAACGAGCATCATGGATCTCCCATACCTTTATTTATTATAATCTAACTTTTGTGATTACATTCTGGTTTGATTCGTTGACAACATAATGATATACTTCATGATTTAACTACTATATGTACGGGTATTTAAGCATCACCTGTGGTGCCACCTATTATTAATAATATGTGTACACATAATGATTAAATGTATGAATAAATTGAGTTGAATTGAACTTGTGATGTTTCAGAATAACCCTTCAAAAGGTAACCATAACAATTCTAAAGTTTATTGAACCACATTCAGAGTCACTGTGAGGACTGGTGTTATATTCTAGGTTGTAGGTACCTGATGCAGTGAAAATGTCATCATATATGTTTGGGTTAATCCACTTATTCCCCGTCCACACTCATTTTCCTTTGAGCTGCATCTGTACCTGCAGTGGCACATGGGCAAGTGGTTTAACATATTGCTTTGTCCTTGTATCGTTTGCATTTGCAAAATGACTGAGATTTTTGTTATATCAAGTTTCGGATTTTTGGTCATTTTAATGGTCTCAAGAGTAATATGAACCACTTGACATCCAAATCCATTCCCTGGCTCTGGAATCTCAAAAAGTGGTTTGTCCATATTCATTGAAATGTACAATTGTTATAAACCAAAAATGCATCCATAGTTACTGGTAATGCTCTAATATCATTTTGGATGCTGCAAACAAGTGTAATACATCCAATGATAGTTTGTTTTTATTTTGAAATATAAACAAAAATAACGCAACTTCCCTAGACCAGAGATCATGCCCATGTGGACAGTCAATAGAGACAGAAACTCACTTTAAAGTAGAATGTCGTATGTTTGAAAATGAACGATTAAGTCTGTTTGCCTAAATGACTGATATCCATAGTGACTTTAACATGTATACAAGTCTAGGAAAATATTGTATAATAATGAATGAAAAAAACTGTTCAAAGGACACTTGGAAAATGTATGATAAAGATGTTAGTCAAATAGTTTCATGCGATGGTCCCTAATAGGTCGGCATCAACCAGGAATTGTTTTAATTTATGTATGTATCTTAATGTAACATCTTTAGTGCGTTAGACTTTAATTAATAAATTTACTACTACTACTAGTATAATATTGTTTCCATGTAATATTTGTTTCATTCTTGATGTGATTTCTGAATTTTCTGGCGAAGAAATACATTGTATAAGCTCTTTCTTATACGATTTCAAAGTTATGAATCAAAGTTTATTATTTTCTTTTAACTTCCCCCAACCCTAAAATATTAGGGTATGGTGTGAGATTCTTTTCACACTCATTATATACAATACCCTTTTTATATTGTGCATAACCGTTGTAAATGTATTTCTTAGAGGTTATGTCACTATCGTGGCATATATGCCCGATGTCTCAGTGATATATGGCCCGACCTTGGGAGGGACATTGATCTATGAGAACCGAGGGCATATGTGCCACGATAGTGACATAAACGATTTATAACATACCTATGATGATGTAGACTGGTCAGAGAGTACCGTTTTCTTATAGAATTGACAAACAAATGGTTTGAAAATGATTGAAATGAGTTAAGAAAAATTGCTCACGCAGTTTTATCTTCGATTGATTGGTTATGACGTCAGCGCCTTGACCAATCAGAAAGTTAGCGGGCGCGGGCTTTTCAAAACTTATATTGGCCCGCTCCGCTGTCTTGTGTACACCTTGCATTCTACATCATCATAGGTATGTTATAATAGGAATTATTTCACAAGTTATAACTTCATAGAAGTCAATTAAAGTAAATTTCGTATTTCATCACTTTGTCATTTAACGATTTTTATGACTGTATAAGGGTTAAATTATGCAAATTAGCTTATTTTCATATCAAGATATTTTTTCTGAATTACTGACGTTATAACATAAATTTTGGTGAAAGAATTAAGTTTGTACCTCATATACTTCCAAAGTTATGAATTAAAGTCCATTTCCATTTGACCCCCCTCAAATATCTGGGTAGGGGGACAAATTTTTTTCAGCGTCGTTATGTAAGATACACTTTTAATATTTTGCACATCTGTTATACATATATAGATGCATTTTTAGGAATTACTTTATTTGTTAAAACTTCATGAGAGGTCAATTAGAGTAAATGTTGTATTTTATCGCATCGTCATTTAACAGTTTTTATGACTGTATAAGGGTTAAATTATGCAAATTAGCTTATTTGCGTAAGTTTGTACCTCATATGCTTCCAAAATTATGAATTAAAGTCCATTTTTATTTGACCCCCTCCCCTCAAAAATCTGGGTAGGGGGAGAATTTTTTTCACAGTCTTTATGTAAGATACACTTCTAATATTTTGCACATCTATTATACATATATAGATGCATTTTTAGGAATTATTTCATAAGTTATAACTTCATATGAAGGCAATAACAGTAAATGTGATATAACATCATTTCGTCATTTACTCGTTTTTATGGCAGTTTAAGGGTTAAATTATACAAATTAGCTTTTTTTAATTCAAAATATTTTTTTCTTCATTACTGATGTTATTTTATAAATTTTGGTGAAAAAATTAAGTTTGTATCTCATATACTTCCAAAGTTATGAATTAAAGTCTATTTTCTTCTGACCCCCCTAAAATTATAGGGCGGGGGGTATAAAGATGAAGATATCTTATTTTTGCAAGTCTCAAACTCTAGATATCATCCCACATCATAAAAGTAACTTATTTTCCAACAAGATCTGAAAAAATCTCGCGTAATACTTTCCAATATCCATTTTCACTTTCTAGCTGTTTCTCAGAACTTGGGTCCCTGAGTATACCGTTAACCCGTTCCGGTCCAGCTTTTGCCTCCAATCCGGTCCACTTTCGTTAGCTGCATATACCAAGGGTGAAATAGCGTATCAAAAATATTATCGAGGTAATATAATACTCGTACATTGACACGTCGCAAAAAAGTCATGTTTATAGGGTGTCGCATGAATGTGCCTTTACTTCTCCGTAGCCCTACTATCACACCAAACTAGTTCTCACTACGTTCTCGAAAACGGGTTTCAACTGTGTACGAACGGACTGGACGTACTTAGAACCGTTTGGGGTCTATTTACAATCTTAATCGAACGTACTCGAACGGGTAAGTCCTCTAGAACTTAGAACATGCTCAAAATGTTCTCGTGGTCGTCACAACGTACTAACTAACAACGAGCTGGACGTAATACGAACGGAACCGTCGTACTTCAATCCTACTACACTGTACTAGGGACGTTTTTACAACGAGTTGAACTGTCTGCTCAGGACGTATTGAGACCGAGGTAGAACTAATTGCAAACGGGTTTAAACTGATTAAGAACGTATTAAAGACTGCTTATGAACGAGTTAGCAAAAATATAGCTATCACACCAAACAAGTTGCCATTGCGTTCTTCAAAACGTTTCCGAATCGGTTTTAAACTGTGTGCGAACTGAATGAACGTAGCTACAACGTTCTACGGTCTGTTTACGAACTTCATGGACTTTCCCGGACTGGGAATGTGATTTAGAATTTTAAATCGATTCAAAATTCGATGGCGACGATACCGTTCTGTAATCAGATCATGATGACATTCTAGACTAAGGGACGCGTTATACGACGTTGCACACCGACGTGGTGCGACCTGAACGAACTGCGAATGAGATGGACGTATTGAAGACTGTTTATGAACCAAGTAGCTAATTATTTTAGACATATTTCCCGACCACAGCCAGATTGAGCCCGTTTTACGACGTTTTCGTTGGACTGGCTTGAACGGGTAAGAACTGGTTTGGTGTGATAGACGATATTCTAACTAAATTGATTGATGTACAAATATGTGAAATATCAGGGAGTAATTTCTTAAAATAACAAAGAAATAAGGAAAATGCAGGGTTTCCGTTTTAATCATAGCCAAATGTCCATCCTAGAAATAATTTTTTAAATAAAGATGGCATGGTAATCGATCTGTGTTTATTTTATTAATAAAAAAAAGATAATACTGGATTCTGTTGGTGCTGCCATCTTTATATCGGCCCAGAACATATGATTTTAACCACCTTGTAGTTTCTTTATTTCCGCGATTTAAAACAGAAGGGAAACGGTCCTAATTTGCTAATAACACTGGCTCAAAACCACTGCACATTGATTTTAAAAAATGCCTCCTCACATAACCAGTCATTTAATTATAGGAAGACAACGATTCCAAATGACTGAAAACAGGAAAGGAGCCAATAGATTGTACATTTTTAAACACATTATATACTCTGAAAGTAAGCATATAGAAAAATAGAATGCAAAACATTGAAAAGGTTTCGGTCATATTTGAAGTAACCAAATGAAAAAAGTAATTTACTCATTATCAAACCCAGTGATAATCAATCAAGACCCCAAAGAAAAACGGATGCAAATGTTTTAAATATTTGCTAAATAATACGCCTACATGTCAAAATTAAAGGAACACTTGAATGTAGCGTTTGCTGACACCATGGTGTATAAAATTGTTTTGAAGTTTGAAGTTTCGCAACTTGCCATGCTCAAGGATGGAGGATGGAGGTTCAAGAATGCTGATTGATTTGCATTAAACCAACACTTTCTCCCTTGGCGCCTTTGTGAATCCCTGCTATGCTATAAAAGTACAATGTAGATGTATTGTAATAAATCTCAAAAAGCGATATTTAGGCTCGACTGTGGCCACCGTTGTGATGTATTGTGTTTTGCGGACTATATTGGCGAGTGTCGAGTAGGCTTATCAATTTGTGTGTCCCCTGGTATAAAAACACGAATACATATAACTTCTGAATCACTTGCCATACTATACCTGGCCCTTTCATTAAAAACAAAACAAGATTGATTTACATCTCGAATATTGAAATATATATTTATCAAGAAAAAATATTTTTTCTAGTTTATCACAACAAACAGAGTGAATACTATGTTGGAAAATATAATTTTGTGTCATTTTTGTAATCTCAAAAGGGTTTGAACCATTCCTAAATATTACAAATCACTAAAATGAAATTTTACAGGAAATATCTCAAATTGACCAAACTCTTCTTACATAATGCTGGTATTTTGTTAAGACTATGTACTGAATCAAATGTACAGTATTTCAAAGACTTTCTAATAACCAAAGTATAATAACACTTGTACATATTATAACTTCTGAATGATAATAATCGATTGACAAAAAATATATTTAAAATCTTGAAACTGCATAATCATAATAACAAGATCTTCCTTAAAATTGACCTCTGTTCTACCTTGATGTTGATATTTGCTGAGGCTGGGTTCTGTTCTAAGAAGAATTTATACTGCACACATAATTGTATTTTATAGACAGACAATGTAATAATGAGTCGACCGTATCATAATATTTATATATAACTTCAGCATAATAATAATCGATAGAACAAAAATATATTTAAAATCTTGAATAATAATGATAATTATAACAATGATCTTAAGTCCTGATTAAATTATCGGAGCAGGATTCAAAAGAATCTAAAAAGATTGATAATATCTAGTACTACAATCAATAAGTTCTGGGGAAAAGTCTTTAAAGAGTTGGAGACCTTTTATTTGTGAATTCACGAGACGTGAATGTGTAAACAATATGTATAGGTTATGCAACATTTATATTTGTTCTCAAACAATGAAACAATGGTGATGTGACCTAACATTATCAGTTTACTCATTTTGGGAGCTACTGAACAGGCATGTTTGAAAAAGTTGGTATTTTCTCGATTTGTACCAGGTCCTTTAATTACAAGCTTTCGATATTAAAGAACTCCAAATAAATTTTATGGGTTTCTTGCTATAATATCAATGTAATTGGACTATCTATAAATCCACTTCCATTTTCCTCGGCTGAACCCATGGAATTCTTATTTTGTCCAATCTTTTTGAGATTTGGTAGGGTTTTATTTCTTGTATCAGATGATTTGGATGATAATCGTTCAAACGTGTTCCTCAGATTACCAATTCCAGTATCTTGTTCAGCTTTTTCGGGCTTTTCAATCGACTTTTGGAATTTAAGAGAAAGACTGTGTACCAAACTCTTTTTGTCTGTAGTGTTATTGAGATCAGTCCCAACATCTTTTAACTCCGGTGGCCACTTAGCTACTTTCCTATCATCTTCATGAGATTTCATATCATGATCTTTTACATCATTTGCAGCAACTCCAATATCATATGGAGGAATTTTCATATTATTTGTCTCTGGGTCTCTTTTCAAATCATATGGAAGTGCTTTCTTATAACTTCGAAAAAACTTTGCATCACTTAGTTTTGCTTCGATATCATTCTCTTGTTTGTGATATTTTCTATCTTGAATTTTATCTTTTTCTTGGATGTTTTCCGTTTGAACTTTCTCTTGGGTGTGATCCCTTTGATCTCTCTGCTGTAATTGATCTCTTTGATCTTTCTCTTGTGCGTGATCTGTTTGATCTTTATCTTGTATGTGATCTCCCTCACCTCTAACATGCAGTTGGTGATCTTTTACACTTGTCCATAAAGGTTTCTTAACGAGTTGAACCTGAAAGATTGCCTTGGGGGATTCCTTATTATCATTACTTGACTTGTTGGAATGACCCTTATCATTGAATATGTCATCCTGAGAGGGAACATCGGGGATCTCATTTTGTTTCTTGAATGGTATTTTAACTGGAATAATATCATTATTGTTCATCTGAATTTCATTCTCAGATCTTGGTTGGAGGGTTTTGAACTTAGATTCTATTAACTTGTTGACCACATCGATTTCTTCCTTTGTGTTGAGCTTAGTTGGAAGTTGTTTCAATGTGGGGCCATTCAGTTGTGTTTGTTCTTTATTGGGGATGTTTACTTGAGTCTGTTTCAATGTGGGTACATTTGATTGAGTATGTTTTAATGAGGATAGATTTGATTGTACTTGATTCAGTGTGGGTATATATTGATTCAATGTGGGTACATTTGGTTGTACACTTGCATGATTCAATGTAGGTACCCCTGGTTGTGTTTTGTTCAATGTGGGTGTGTTCATTTGACTTTGTGTTATATTTTGTGAAATTGGTTGAGTTCTTTTTAAAGCAGATGTATATGGATGGATATTATTCCCTATTATGGGCATTTGATCCGGTGTCTCATTAGAAGTAAGTGTTTTTGTTTGAGTTTCTGTGGAGTTAGCTGGTTGCACGTTCAATTCCTGTTGAGTTGAATGATTCACATTTGTAGATGAGAGCGGCGGAAGGGATCTCATTGATCCTAGTTCCTGTTGTTTATTTGGGGTAGGGTGTGGCGGAAAATTACACATAATCTCAGTTTCAGAATCAGAGTTTTGCTCTTGTGGTCCTGGCCAATGTAGGTCCACTGTTGTCCTTATTTGAACAGGTTTTGTTGACCAAAAAGGAGTGAAGCCAATGGATGATTTTGATTGGATGGAAGATTGTGAGGAAAGGGAATTGGTCGGGGAGTTCAAATTGCTTGGTACTTCATGTATAGTTGGAAAAGGAACCCTTCTAATTGCACTCCCCTCATTGTATAGATATGAATATGGTCTATTGTACAGACTTTGGTGATTAATTTGAGCACTTTTTGGTTGCGGGTTAACATGGTGTACCCAAGATTTATCAGCTGTGAAGTGTTGGTATGACGTATCATCAACACTTGTGTGATACTGCATATAAGGGTTATGCATATGATCTTCTGAAGATACTATGATATCAGGTATTGTATGATGTTGCAAAGCTGAAACTGTGAGACCTGACTGTGGTTTTGTCTTTTCCGAAGAGTAGAATAACATTTTACTGTTTGAGTCACTTGGAGTTGGTGATGCACTTCCTAGGGATGAGATTTCAGGACTTTCTGATAATGTACCATTATCCATTTGTCTGTTGAATAGAGGATGAGATGTAACAGGAGGGGTGTATAAATTGTTTTGTATTGGCCAATGCCACTTTATTCCTCTTTCTTTCACACTACCTGTCCCAGAGGTTAAAAGTTTTGGAACACTCCCTAAGTACTTTGCAGCTGGTTTGCGGCGACTTGGCAACGAGGCATATGACTTCGCTTTGGATACATGCTCCTCTGGAATACTGGGATACATTTGGATACTTCCTTTTAATTTTGGTGTACGTTTTCCCAAATTCCCGCCAAAACTGAATGGGTTCTCTAAAGGAATTGATATACAGGCTGGTCGGTGGCCATGTGCTCCTTGTAGGCTGGCTAGCAGACTACCATTACAGCAGGGGAGTCCACATGTTTGACCGGGGGGGTTATGAACAAAAGGAGTTGGTTCACTTCTTCTATAACGCTTTCTCCGTAAGGCCTGCCACCACTATATATGGAACATAAGACAATGTTACCAATGAGTAAATTAGAATCAAGATGACAAAATGCTTTTATGTCAAAGTGGTTTTTGTCTAGTCCATTTAATTACAAGGCAAACAAAAAACAGTCACCACCAGTTATTCAAAGTTGTAAGAATCGTAAGAATTCATTGTATCAAACTACAGATCTATGTAAAGTTGAAATTATATATTGATGTTTTTCTGTAAATCTTTTTTTTGAACTTTCAAAATAGAGTAAGGTTTTGGAGTAAGTTTCTAAAATCTATAGATTTGGTGTTAGCTAAACTTATTTTTCTACCATACACATTTAAGTTTACCCTCTCCCAAAACACAAATCAACTCCACTCTCTCACTGCTATTTTAACACTTTTTTCTTTCCACACAATTCTGTACAACAATTAAAGATGTCCGAAGCAACAAAGACACAGATAGTTATAGTTTCATATCCATACAAAATTTATTATTACAACTGTACAACTCTTTCTTTTTACAATTGAACACTTTGGTCAAGCAATAATCTCTTTTTATCAGGATGACTGGTCCCTATAATAAATGTCAAAATGACCAGTCCCTTAACTAGTTGAATTCACACTTTCTCCATTTTACATTCAAATATTGAAGATGAGCAATTGGAAAATTGCCTTTTAATTTTGAAAAAGCATTTAGCACATATATTTAAGGAATAAATAATGATAGGCCATTCAATATGGTGAAATTCAGCACGAGTTGGACAGAATGTCGTACAAAGCACGAACCGAAGGTGAGTGCATTTGTACTGACATTCTGTCCAACGAGTGCTGAATTTCACCATATTGAATGGCCTATCATTATTTATTCCGATTCAAACATATAAAAAATGAAAACATTGTTCAGAGAATTGGGGATTGGAGCTACATGAGATACACCAAACTCGAGCTCGCTGTTATTTTCGCCATTCCCAGGTGTGACGTCACAATGCAAATACAATACGTAGATTCCCGGATGATTGGATAGAGCACGGTCGTGCATCTATGGAGAATTAGAGAACGTTCTATATTGGCTATGCTGCATTCTGATTGGTTGAGAAATTCAATTAGAGCACGGTCATGTTTGAATCTATTTTTAAACACATTTGGTGTAATTTGGAGATAGTGTTATGATTATACTATATATCATTTTAAAGATGTTGAGTCAATCACTGTACAGTACATATGCTTATCAAATAGATCAAAGTTTTGACAAATTGTTTCCACTTATCCAAACTTTTGATCCCCTTAATTAATGAACATTCATAATCAACGATATAACTTAGATTTGGCAGAATTCAAATTGCAACCTTACTCTAATAAAATGTGTACATGTTCTCACTGCAATGTGACATCACAAGAGAACAGAAATGAATTTATCCCAAACTTCAAAAAGTCCATGTAATACATTATCGTAAAGAGGCGAGAAATGATTAAAAATCCGAAATGAAGATATGTTATTCAGAATGAAAAATAGTTGAACATTTCAGTTTGTACTATTTTAAATAGCTCATGAACAAGAAATTTCACCTCATAAAATTAGAAAACACTAATGTGGGTACATGTACACATTTTCTAACTCCTCTACATGCTTTTATTTGACAAGCCTTATGGCAGTCAAAGCCTAATGGCATTAGCCTACTAACAAACTTATATTACAAAATGATATGTAATCATGTAATGGTGGATAGCGCATTGAACAAAATGGCTATAGGCTTTAAATATATACATGTCTAATGGAAGACTTGCAATTCAGTGATCAAAAGTGTAGAAAAACCCTGATTTTTACTTTGATCGAACCTTCGAAATACAAGATAATGACATCAATTGTCATGATAATAAGGTGCAAATGGGACTTAACGTTATTACAAATGCAAAAATATTTCAATAAAATCTCATCTGCATAAGTCAAGGTTGTCATGGTTACTATGAATGATATTTTGTTTTCAATCTTTGAATATTATTATTTACAATATATACATGCTGGAATGCTATTTCAGCTTTTATGTACATGTACATTATTTATACTGTACTTATGCATTGATAATATGCATTTGATGGCATTTCTTAAATGCATTATAACTTTGTACAATGCATCGTAACTTTGTTCAATGCATTATGACTTTGTACACTACATTATGATATTTTACAATGCATTTTAGAGCATTTCATTGTAGCATCACAAATGAACTTTATATTTGAGATCTATTTCCATCTGTGATGCCCCATCATGTTGAAGCACCTTTTACAAGCTCAATTTATGAGCTTTTTATGAGCTGTATTGATGAGCTATTTTATGAGCTGTCAATGCTATGCTTTACTTATTATGAATTCTTTACAATATTTAATAAATATCAGTGTGATATATAAAATGATAATTTAATTCATTAACAGAACAGTTTATCAATCATTTGGCAAAACTCTGTCAAACTTCACAAACTGAATACTTCAAGAAATTACTTAGTTATAGAATCCTACTGAAATTGAAATAAAATATCACCCTCAGGTACAGGATGTAGATGAAATATGTCAGATTTCAGATCCTGTAATGTGTGTAAATACATCTTTCAATTCTGCCAACATATTGGGAATGACGATAAAATGTTGTGCCTTTTTACCAGAGATCAAACAATAGATGTCACCTAAGTGCTAACTGGAATATTTTGATGTTTCAAAAATTCCATATTTGGTATTTTCTAAATTCCATATTTACAGTGTGACTCAATGTGCAACTTGAATAAATGTGAAATTTGACTAAATGTACATGATGACTCAATATCTATTTGCTACGATGTGAAATCAGAGCTCCACAATAATGGTGCATTGTCATGGAAACATATTTTAGAAATGATTGACTCTTGTGTTCTGAGTGCAAAAGATGCATTGCTTGACCTCATAAGGCTTACAACATAAAATCATCAACCAACAATATGAAATAACAATATCTATCATAGATTGTGGTCTAGTCTCGAAACATTAGAGAAAACAATATCAATTTTTTATGCACGATACAAAGTATCAACATATTTTACCAATACTGTACAATAATTTTTAATTTTGCCAAAAGTTTCCAAGACCACCATGAAAGAATTTGTTAGAGTAGGCATGCAAGATAGAATACCCTATGACGAATATGTATAGATTATACTATGTACTATACAATACTAGCAAAAGTATATACTCGTAACACTTATTGCATGAGAGTTATGGAAGATATATTTTATAAACAGTAAGAACCTAAAAGGACTGGTACAAATGTAGAACATATAGATGCAAAATTTACTAAAAATGTCAGAGTGGAAAACCCTAGTAGAAGTGCACAATAAAATATTGCAATTAAAAAATGGCCCTTTCATCAAGTGTCACCCTGATCATGACATTCCTTCTCTACTAAATTTGGTTTTGCATTGCTCCATTCAATTTTGTCCATAAAATAGGCAAATATTTTTCGACTCACCCTGTACAAGAAAAACCTTAATTTTCACTTGAGCTAGGAGTTAGAAAGATGATCAGCATGCCATTCATGATTAGGTAACAGATCACGACCCAAATGCAATTGACATTCACCCTCGCAAAAACAGCAGTTACTTATTCACTATATACACATATACAACAAATAAAATAATATATAAATAAAATAACCTCTGCAATCTTTATGCTCATTTCTATAATCCACTATGTCTAAAATAAGGCACTTTCACTTTTGCAGACGGATGTCCCACACACCCCTAATGATCAAAATGAACTCTTCCAAATTGAAAGATCAGAGTAGTATTATTGATATCATAGGGATGACAGCTTGTGGGTTATAGAAATGACATATAGAGGGCTCTATTCACTATACAATGACTTCATATATGACCTTTTTAGGTTTAGTGGGATCGGGGGTTGAGTAACCACTTTCGTTCCCACTTCGAGTTTCTGGGTTTTTAGTGTCTTGATATCCTATAATAAATGGTGATTTTCTATCACTGGGCGGAGTGTCTTGCTGTAAACTCATATAAGAAGGATCTGAAATGACAAAAGGACACATATTTAGAACAAAATAATAAAATAGGTGAAAGGTGAAAAATCAACACAATGTCTTTACATATACAGTATATTTTACTGTTTTCAGATAGCATTGAACAACCAGGGGTTGAAATTTCAAAATGCAACCGGTAAAATTTGAGTTCACACATGGAATTATTACGCCAAAAGTAGTGCGAAATGGCCTTTTCACGTGTTGGCATAAAGTTTTGATGACATTTAAAGACATAGTTCCTCTTTCACGTATATCATCTCATGGAAATGGGCATACCAGCGCAAAGATCTTTGTTCCGTGGTGAAGAAAAGCCATCAAACATTGTCTGAAGAGCAGATTTATCTCCGTAATTCTACTTTTAACATGGCGACCTTGACCTTGAAAAAATATAGCCATTTGGGCGATAATAGGTGATTCAAAAGTGAAAATGAGTGCTTTTTTCGTAGTTTTACTTTGACCAAGCCTAGAAAAAAATCGAAGTGGTAAACCTACCCCCAATTTTTGATATTTTCGTTGTCTAGAAGTGTCCTAGATGATATCAAAGTTTAAGAAAATTTGTATGTCTAGAAATATTTTATAAATTAGTGCCAATATGGTGGGTTTGGGTGTTTTTTTGCTCTCATTTTTTACCCCATTTCTACGGTTGCCATGGCAACTATAAGGCTTTGGTAACCATGCCAACTTGATTTTTGAAGGACATCCACCTGATAGTAGTTGGGCCAAGTTTGATGGAAAATGGGCATGGTTTGATATGCTGGCAGTGAGGTTGATTGTGGCATGTAGTAAAACGGCAAAACAATGGTGGAGTCATACCATTATTTTGCCGCATTTTGATGCTTAATTTTCAATTTATAATCGTTTGGTACCATCGTGACGTCACAATAAAGCGTCTGGCCTCATGATATGGGTACCAAATTGAAGAGGACGTGACAAGCTTTAAGATGGTACCAAACATGTGGCCATTCCTTTGATTAAAATGCTAACTTGAATAAGCCCAAAAGGTGTGTCACTCCCCTACCCCATCCATTTTCAGGCCAGTGAAAAACACCAAAATCTCAAATAATCCAGGCATCTTCAGGGGTCGTTTTTTGGCCCCGTTTTATTCAAAATATCATGTTTATGGATACCATTTTTATCAGAAATGTCTCAATTACCTAAAAACAGTTACACTAGTGCTGAATAAGAAAACATGTCTCCATTATGGAATTATTACGCCAAAAGTAGTGCGAAATGGCCTTTTCACGTGTTGGCATAAAGTTTTGATGACATTTAAAGACATAGTTCCTCTTTCACGTATATCATCTCATGGAAATGGGCATACCAGCGCAAAGATCTTTGTTCCGTGGTGAAGAAAAGCCATCAAACATTGTCTGAAGAGCAGATTTATCTCCGTAATTCTACTTTTAACATGGCGACCTTGACCTTGAAAAAATATAGCCATTTGGGCGATAATAGGTGATTCAAAAGTGAAAATGAGTGCTTTTTTCGTAGTTTTACTTTGACCAAGCCTAGAAAAAAATCGAAGTGGTAAACCTACCCCCAATTTTTGATATTTTCGTTGTCTAGAAGTGTCCTAGATGATATCAAAGTTTAAGAAAATTTGTATGTCTAGAAATATTTTATAAATTAGTGCCAATATGGTGGGTTTGGGTGTTTTTTTGCTCTCATTTTTTACCCCATTTCTACGGTTGCCATGGCAACTATAAGGCTTTGGTAACCATGCCAACTTGATTTTTGAAGGACATCCACCTGATAGTAGTTGGGCCAAGTTTGATGGAAAATGGGCATGGTTTGATATGCTGGCAGTGAGGTTGATTGTGGCATGTAGTAAAACGGCAAAACAATGGTGGAGTCATACCATTATTTTGCCGCATTTTGATGCTTAATTTTCAATTTATAATCGTTTGGTACCATCGTGACGTCACAATAAAGCGTCTGGCCTCATGATATGGGTACCAAATTGAAGAGGACGTGACAAGCTTTAAGATGGTACCAAACATGTGGCCATTCCTTTGATTAAAATGCTAACTTGAATAAGCCCAAAAGGTGTGTCACTCCCCTACCCCATCCATTTTCAGGCCAGTGAAAAACACCAAAATCTCAAATAATCCAGGCATCTTCAGGGGTCGTTTTTTGGCCCCGTTTTATTCAAAATATCATGTTTATGGATACCATTTTTATCAGAAATGTCTCAATTACCTAAAAACAGTTACACTAGTGCTGAATAAGAAAACATGTCTCCATTATGGAATTATTACGCCAAAAGTAGTGCGAAATGGCCTTTTCACGTGTTGGCATAAAGTTTTGATGACATTTAAAGACATAGTTCCTCTTTCACGTATATCATCTCATGGAAATGGGCATACCAGCGCAAAGATCTTTGTTCCGTGGTGAAGAAAAGCCATCAAACATTGTCTGAAGAGCAGATTTATCTCCGTAATTCTACTTTTAACATGGCGACCTTGACCTTGAAAAAATATAGCCATTTGGGCGATAATAGGTGATTCAAAAGTGAAAATGAGTGCTTTTTTCGTAGTTTTACTTTGACCAAGCCTAGAAAAAAATCGAAGTGGTAAACCTACCCCCAATTTTTGATATTTTCGTTGTCTAGAAGTGTCCTAGATGATATCAAAGTTTAAGAAAATTTGTATGTCTAGAAATATTTTATAAATTAGTGCCAATATGGTGGGTTTGGGTGTTTTTTTGCTCTCATTTTTTACCCCATTTCTACGGTTGCCATGGCAACTATAAGGCTTTGGTAACCATGCCAACTTGATTTTTGAAGGACATCCACCTGATAGTAGTTGGGCCAAGTTTGATGGAAAATGGGCATGGTTTGATATGCTGGCAGTGAGGTTGATTGTGGCATGTAGTAAAACGGCAAAACAATGGTGGAGTCATACCATTATTTTGCCGCATTTTGATGCTTAATTTTCAATTTATAATCGTTTGGTACCATCGTGACGTCACAATAAAGCGTCTGGCCTCATGATATGGGTACCAAATTGAAGAGGACGTGACAAGCTTTAAGATGGTACCAAACATGTGGCCATTCCTTTGATTAAAATGCTAACTTGAATAAGCCCAAAAGGTGTGTCACTCCCCTACCCCATCCATTTTCAGGCCAGTGAAAAACACCAAAATCTCAAATAATCCAGGCATCTTCAGGGGTCGTTTTTTGGCCCCGTTTTATTCAAAATATCATGTTTATGGATACCATTTTTATCAGAAATGTCTCAATTACCTAAAAACAGTTACACTAGTGCTGAATAAGAAAACATGTCTCCATTATGGAATTATTACGCCAAAAGTAGTGCGAAATGGCCTTTTCACGTGTTGGCATAAAGTTTTGATGACATTTAAAGACATAGTTCCTCTTTCACGTATATCATCTCATGGAAATGGGCATACCAGCGCAAAGATCTTTGTTCCGTGGTGAAGAAAAGCCATCAAACATTGTCTGAAGAGCAGATTTATCTCCGTAATTCTACTTTTAACATGGCGACCTTGACCTTGAAAAAATATAGCCATTTGGGCGATAATAGGTGATTCAAAAGTGAAAATGAGTGCTTTTTTCGTAGTTTTACTTTGACCAAGCCTAGAAAAAAATCGAAGTGGTAAACCTACCCCCAATTTTTGATATTTTCGTTGTCTAGAAGTGTCCTAGATGATATCAAAGTTTAAGAAAATTTGTATGTCTAGAAATATTTTATAAATTAGTGCCAATATGGTGGGTTTGGGTGTTTTTTTGCTCTCATTTTTTACCCCATTTCTACGGTTGCCATGGCAACTATAAGGCTTTGGTAACCATGCCAACTTGATTTTTGAAGGACATCCACCTGATAGTAGTTGGGCCAAGTTTGATGGAAAATGGGCATGGTTTGATATGCTGGCAGTGAGGTTGATTGTGGCATGTAGTAAAACGGCAAAACAATGGTGGAGTCATACCATTATTTTGCCGCATTTTGATGCTTAATTTTCAATTTATAATCGTTTGGTACCATCGTGACGTCACAATAAAGCGTCTGGCCTCATGATATGGGTACCAAATTGAAGAGGACGTGACAAGCTTTAAGATGGTACCAAACATGTGGCCATTCCTTTGATTAAAATGCTAACTTGAATAAGCCCAAAAGGTGTGTCACTCCCCTACCCCATCCATTTTCAGGCCAGTGAAAAACACCAAAATCTCAAATAATCCAGGCATCTTCAGGGGTCGTTTTTTGGCCCCGTTTTATTCAAAATATCATGTTTATGGATACCATTTTTATCAGAAATGTCTCAATTACCTAAAAACAGTTACACTAGTGCTGAATAAGAAAACATGTCTCCATTATGGAATTATTACGCCAAAAGTAGTGCGAAATGGCCTTTTCACGTGTTGGCATAAAGTTTTGATGACATTTAAAGACATAGTTCCTCTTTCACGTATATCATCTCATGGAAATGGGCATACCAGCGCAAAGATCTTTGTTCCGTGGTGAAGAAAAGCCATCAAACATTGTCTGAAGAGCAGATTTATCTCCGTAATTCTACTTTTAACATGGCGACCTTGACCTTGAAAAAATATAGCCATTTGGGCGATAATAGGTGATTCAAAAGTGAAAATGAGTGCTTTTTTCGTAGTTTTACTTTGACCAAGCCTAGAAAAAAATCGAAGTGGTAAACCTACCCCCAATTTTTGATATTTTCGTTGTCTAGAAGTGTCCTAGATGATATCAAAGTTTAAGAAAATTTGTATGTCTAGAAATATTTTATAAATTAGTGCCAATATGGTGGGTTTGGGTGTTTTTTTGCTCTCATTTTTTACCCCATTTCTACGGTTGCCATGGCAACTATAAGGCTTTGGTAACCATGCCAACTTGATTTTTGAAGGACATCCACCTGATAGTAGTTGGGCCAAGTTTGATGGAAAATGGGCATGGTTTGATATGCTGGCAGTGAGGTTGATTGTGGCATGTAGTAAAACGGCAAAACAATGGTGGAGTCATACCATTATTTTGCCGCATTTTGATGCTTAATTTTCAATTTATAATCGTTTGGTACCATCGTGACGTCACAATAAAGCGTCTGGCCTCATGATATGGGTACCAAATTGAAGAGGACGTGACAAGCTTTAAGATGGTACCAAACATGTGGCCATTCCTTTGATTAAAATGCTAACTTGAATAAGCCCAAAAGGTGTGTCACTCCCCTACCCCATCCATTTTCAGGCCAGTGAAAAACACCAAAATCTCAAATAATCCAGGCATCTTCAGGGGTCGTTTTTTGGCCCCGTTTTATTCAAAATATCATGTTTATGGATACCATTTTTATCAGAAATGTCTCAATTACCTAAAAACAGTTACACTAGTGCTGAATAAGAAAACATGTCTCCATTATGGAATTATTACGCCAAAAGTAGTGCGAAATGGCCTTTTCACGTGTTGGCATAAAGTTTTGATGACATTTAAAGACATAGTTCCTCTTTCACGTATATCATCTCATGGAAATGGGCATACCAGCGCAAAGATCTTTGTTCCGTGGTGAAGAAAAGCCATCAAACATTGTCTGAAGAGCAGATTTATCTCCGTAATTCTACTTTTAACATGGCGACCTTGACCTTGAAAAAATATAGCCATTTGGGCGATAATAGGTGATTCAAAAGTGAAAATGAGTGCTTTTTTCGTAGTTTTACTTTGACCAAGCCTAGAAAAAAATCGAAGTGGTAAACCTACCCCCAATTTTTGATATTTTCGTTGTCTAGAAGTGTCCTAGATGATATCAAAGTTTAAGAAAATTTGTATGTCTAGAAATATTTTATAAATTAGTGCCAATATGGTGGGTTTGGGTGTTTTTTTGCTCTCATTTTTTACCCCATTTCTACGGTTGCCATGGCAACTATAAGGCTTTGGTAACCATGCCAACTTGATTTTTGAAGGACATCCACCTGATAGTAGTTGGGCCAAGTTTGATGGAAAATGGGCATGGTTTGATATGCTGGCAGTGAGGTTGATTGTGGCATGTAGTAAAACGGCAAAACAATGGTGGAGTCATACCACATACTTAGATGTTTGACAAATTATGAAGAAACTTACCACCATTTTGTCTAGGTCTCTTTTTATTTTTATTTATTGCAGCATACATTTGTTCAGGATTTTGTTGGTCGTACATTTGACCATTGGCTGGATTTGCTGCAAAAATACAATAAAATGTTGTCATACTGAATAGGCATACCATAATCAAAAATTTGTATGATGAGTTTCAATCATCATAGTCACCATAGTAGAAATAAAAGTTGTAAACTTAAAAATGTCTCAAAGTGATATATCTTTTGGTCATTTTTAACCAGACAGACTGCCATGTTCAGAAGCCTTGGATTGTGAACTCTTGTCACTTATGGACAGTCTCTATGGCATTCAGATGAGACAAGTTCTACTGTATTTACATTTTAATACATGTAGTTAATACATGTAAACAAGTCAAAACTTTGATGGTCAAAACTCATTTCTACTTTACTTAATAAAGTTTGGTTAATCCAAATGTTTCAACCATACTTGTCAGAATAAAATACTGAAATGGAGATTGTTCTTTAAAACCCAATAAAGAGTTGAAAACCTTTACTCATTGAAAATACAACAACTCATGATATTAGTATGAAAATAATAAAAATACATGACAAACAGACTTACTGTGATAGGCATTCCTCTCGTTCATTGTATTTTCATCCATTCCCAAATTCTCCTGATTCTGGAGTTCATATGTCTCATAATTATTCGGGACTGAGCCGTTGCTAGGTGGCGCTGGTGGCCATTGTTGTTGTTGCATATTTCCATAGTGAGAACCATAACCATTGGGCGGACCTCCATTCATTTTAGGTGGATGAGAATAATGCATATCTGGAAAGTTAAAGGGTCTTGCACATTGAAAAAATGCTCAAGGAAACTTTTTTAAAGGACCTTGCATAAAGTATGAAATTTCATGGGAGCAATGTTTAGATAATTTTGCACAGATTCAGTACAGAAAAACTGAATAATCCAGCACTCGGATTTTGACTAAAAATATTTAACTGATTCGGTGCAAAATATTGATAGAAAAGTCTTTGATGAGAGTATCATTTTAAGAACATTAGTGTTTGATATCAGGAATAGGAATAAAACATTAAAAATTAGAATTGTAAGTCGGACTGTTTTTCAAACTGTATTGAATTAAATTAGATTTAAAGCAAAATGTATAAAAAGCCACTTAGACAAAGATAAATGAAGCGATACTATTATTATAGACAACCCAAGCAAGATGAAAAATTAAATGTGTGACAAAAAGTAAATAATGTGAACTTCAGAAATCCTCTAAGTGATAGAAAAGAAACCAATGGAAAGCAATTCCATAAATTACCCTAACTTAGAGGCTAGTTTTCTTCACTTAGTCATTTCTAGAAGTTCATCATTATAAACACTATCATTGTGAAACAAATCACACAGAATCAAATAAAGCTTAAATATGCCAACAAGGACTTATCGCCCTACCCAAACCACAACAGTATAACATAGTAGTGCTAACAATAACACATAACAGTAAAACAGTGTCTATTAGAAAAAACCAAAACATAATATTAACTAGTGAACCAAAGAATATACTAAAATAAACCAAATTCAGCTGATGAACATAAACAATAAAAACAAAATGATACATCTGAAACTCATCAATCTACCTATAAACTCAAAACAACTTCTAGAGACTCAAGAATCATTCAAAACTTAAACAAACTTTTAAAAACTCAAACAATCTATTAGAGACTCAAACAATCTATTAAAGACTCAAACAATCTATTAGAGACTCAACTCAAGGTGTACTTTGCCACAGTGCTCTTTCAGTTAAAAGAAAGCTAAACTATTCTATTTGTTATGGGATGGAGAGACTACATGAGGGTTGTCAATCCCACAATGCATTACTAAAATTGCATTATGGGATTCAATATCCTCATTTGGGAGTTAGAAATTCACAAAATTGAATTGTTAGATTAATAGATGAATTTGTAAATGCTAATTATTGGATGGGAACCACTGAATTAGAGGGAATTAAATATAAGTTTGATAATAGGACATTTAACATGCAGATTATAGAGGAACCATTATTTTGAGGGATTTTCCAAATAATTGTTGTAAGTTAGACTTTATTAGAACAAATTAATGTTATGAATTGAAAGAAACGTGAACTGAAAGGAACATGAACAGAAAGGAACATGAACAGAAAGGAACATGCACAGACAGGAACATGAACAGAAAGGAACATGCACAGACAGGAACATGAACAGAAAGGAACATGCAAGAACATAAATTAGAAAATTTCTTTTATTAGGATTTAGGGATGTCCACAAAAAATGAAATAACTGAAAAAAGTTGTATAATATAACTGGATAGAAGGAAGAAATATAGAAGAGTTTAAAAACATGCATTAAAAAAATTCAACATGCAAATAATACAAAATAAAAATAATATTCTTAAATAATAAAATAAATAAACTTAATAATGAAAGCTAATATTATCAAACTACACTACTATACAAGCAAACTACATTATTAGAATTTACTAAAACTTAATTCAAATATAAAATATTGAATTTAAAACTCAATAGATTGTATCTGAATCATCAAAACATTGTGCATAAATCAAAATGGTTTCTTTGATATCAAAGTAAGATTTATTTCCACAAGAAACCATGCTTTGATTATCCAAAATGTTTTGGGTGAAGAGAAAAAATATTGATTTTGGGTCGTAATGATATTTAATAATATCTTTATTTTTATACAGGATTAAATCAATTGCGAGGTTTTAATTTCAGTTGACAAGTGGGTTGGAATGAATGACAAAAATGACTCTATGTAAAAACTGTGAGTCAATGTCACCACACATTTTTACCAATATAAAAATTATCAAAATATAAAAAATAATTCTGTGAACCCAAATCATATTTCTTCTTCTTTCAGCAGGTGTATATTTCAAGACATTTTGATAAAAAAATTTCTACGATGTGAAATTGTGGGATTTATTCTCCATGATAACATCACGATAGAATAACCATCTTGAAAGATACATTGCTGCTTGTGTCACGTGTGCAACACACTTACATGGAAAAGCAGAATTATAGGTGGCGCTAATATCAGAAGAAAGAGGTGCAGTCATGCGTGAAGAATCGTGGCGTGTGGCGTACACACCTGTCATCGTTGGATCATCAAGATCGTAGCCCGGACCATACCCGGGAACTTCCGCATATGGACCAAAATCAGTAGCGTCAAGGGCGGGGTTAGATATACCCTGTACAGTACCTGTGTTAGTGACACTAGGGGGTGTTGCAACTGGCTGGGGGGCACTTATCGTCGGGGATGAGGCATACTCCTTTTCTAAAACATGAGAACATTTTGTCTTTTATTTTAGTCCTGAAAAATTTCATATCAAAGTGAAGAATTGGGAAAGATTTCTTTAAAATTAAAAAAATTAATCATCAATTTTTTCATATGAACCCTGGACTATATGGTTTGAAGAAAGTTACATATTTTTACGAGTAATAAAAGAAATCTGAAATATGACTGACTCAAAATTCCATCCTGTTTTATTAGGGTCCCTCTTAATCTAATGCAAGGGGTAGTGAAGGCTGTGGATCCCACAATGCAAAATTCATGTTTGATCAGCTTTAAAAAAACTGTTAATAGATCACTTACTATTTGCCTTGCGTTTACGGCAATACACAATGAGGAAGATGACAACGAGGATGAGAATGATAGCACCGCATACACTGGCTACAATGATGATCGTCTCTACGGGGATATCTGCTGTTGCTGGCTCAACTGGAAATACACAGTAATACAATGTTAATTAAAGGGATAATCAAAGACATAGGGGAACCCACCCCCCCCCAAGAAATCTTTCAAAATCATGCAGTTTTTCACCATTCTGAGCACTTTTTAGGTGATTTAGTCATTTTTGGACCAAAATTGTCACAAGTGAACCCCACTGGAATTTTTCAAAAAGTGAGCAAATCCTGGCTACGGGCCTGGGGGGAAGTAACAATGGAAAATTTTGGAAGTATGTATGGAACTATGAAGTATTTAAATCAACTTCCTTCTTTCCTCATTTCCATAAACACATCAACTAAGAACGTAGGAACCTAAACCTTCATTAACAAGTCTATATATAATAAATCTACGAACAGAAATGTCGACATGACAGTTCCTGTAATTCCCTATACTTATCAAGCTTACAATAGACAATAGACAGGTACGGTTACATAGGAAATAATGACAATATGTCAATATTGAGGAATTATTCTCATCCGAAGCGGGTTTGCAGTTTAACAATGAAAAGAATATTATTTACACCTTAGCAACTACATCTTATGAATTCCACTCCTCTATGAGAGACAATGAGATAGTCGGACTACCATATAAACTTCATTGTTCATGACCTTCAACCCTCTTTTGTTTACGAAAAAGGAAAAGCAATGACTCTGAAAGAATTCCCCCCCACGCTGGCTACGGGTCAAAATCATGCAGTTTTTACCATTCCATACCATCTTGGGCCAAAGTTGTCAAATCTAAACCTCCATGGTCCTAGAAATTTTCAAAAGTGAACCCCTTGACAAAACTGGCTACACACCTGTGGCAATAGCTGATCATCTTATTTGAAGCCAGACAAAATGAGAATTTATAATCTTTTAGAATGGTCAATAATATAGAACTGTTCATGTAATGAAATATGAACAGCATGAACTTTTATTTACAGGATATTATGATGTTCCGGTACCTGTGAGGCATCAATTTATGGTTTCCATGGCAACCATATCAATTTTCTCAAGTTGCTAATGGCTTTCACTTGTGTTGCTTATTACATAGATACCATAGAAACACAACAGTGAGCAAAATGACAACCTTACTGGTACATCATGTTTACTAAGGTGATTGCTTTGCTGAAAATTACAGTCTTAGATTTCTCTATTTTATTCATGGACAGAGTTTCATTTTCTAGAGAACTACGGGGATTTAATGCTTCAATATACTTCTTATCATAACATGAAAAATAAATCATATACCCATGAAAAATTGAAAGGATTTGTCCTAATTTGTGCATAAAAATCAAACTAACTGACTCCATGCATTAAGGATATTATCCCTAGGGTTTCATCCAGATAACATTTAATGATCACACATGTATTATCTCCAGGTTTATTAATTTACCTCACCTGGATATGGCAAAAACAGAGGTTGATATTCAATATAAAGACTCGGGGAAAATGGATCAGTCCATACTAAAGAATATAGTATCATATCAAGTCTCTGGACACTCCCCCCCCCCATCACCCATGTAAATGGGAGATAACCAGGCATCGTAACAAGGCCTTGGAAGCAAGGCTGAACTGAAACCACAGATTCATCTTTTCAAAAGATTCACTATTAGAGAATGCTTGAAAATATAAGCCTTTAGATTGTTATCAAAGATGCAAATCCAAACTCTGGATGTATTCAGACTTCGATATAATCTTAATGTTCATTTATAAAAAAGAAAAAGAATCAAATCAAAAGAAATGAATTAAGCCTGTTTGGAAAGAAACTCTTTAATTCTTTAAAAACTTCAGAAAAAATCAGAAAATCTGGGTTAATATATACCTTAGAGAGTCCAAGGAATGTTACAAGAATGAGTGAAATTGTAACTTAGGCCTGTAATCAATAGTTCCACTCACTTGGGTCGAACACCATAACATAATCAGAAACAGGTGAATCGTTCTAACTGATGGACCACAGGGATACTGAGTCATTTGTAATCCTTTAATCTCCTATATCTATGGATACTTTAATTTCAAACTAAACCAATATCACTGGCATGTAGCGATTATAGCGGTCCTGTCTTGGCTTATTGAATTGTTACGAAGTTACGTATGCGGTGCGGAAGTTAGAGAGCAAATGACCATCATTTCAATGTAATAGTTTATGCAGGAAAATTGAGATTAGGCCATTGGAGTATTTGTTTCATGCATTTGTAAAACATTACCCACTCATAGGTCATACTTATCGTTAAACCAATAACTCAAATATATGCCCTTGTACACCGATCACCTGTTGAAATTAATACAGGCCGATTTCAACAAATGTAAACGGCGATATATTTAAAATCGTATTTAAGCATGACCACGTCCCAACTTCTTTTGTTTTCTTTACAACTAAGCTATGACTGCAGTCTATTCAGTGTTGCGTATCGAACCTTGTTTATTATAAAAATAGTGCAACAACAAGCAGAATTCACACATTTACCCTATACTTATTCTCAACCGAAGACAATGAATTTATCTCTCAGGTTTTACATTATAAATATCTTAACATGCAGAATACGAAAATAGAGGCTTAGGCCCAACTTTGTATGAATTTTATGAGACTAATCTGATTTTAGAGAAATGAAAAGAAAAATGTCCACACCCTACACAAAATATTTATGGTTCCCCGGGAACACGTATGTGCTGCTTGTATATTAGAATCGTATTCCAGTTACAGAAAGAAGTACATATCATGCTAAACTATATACAACAGTTATGCACTTGGAGGTTTTGGATACAGGGAATATCCCGAGGGATATATAATATATCTTCCCTTGGTCCCTTCGGTCCCTCGGGAAGATATATTGTATATCCCGAGGGATATTCCCTGTATCCAAAACCTCCAATTGCATAACCCCTATATATTGGCCAAGGGATAATCCCAATATCCTGAACCGCGACTATAGGATAATATGTTTATCCCATACCAATCTTGGTCATCTGGTTCACATTGTTAAATCGTGGAAACATTTTAGAATATTCATGTCCAGTTTTGTTTTCTTGGCCATGGGCGGATTTTCATGTTCTCTCAAATATTCCCATATTTATTTTCGGCGATTTTGACGTAGCGGGCAGATATACTATATCTGCCCGCTTGGAGCGGGTCGTAAAGCTTTATCCCATGGTTGCAAGGAGGATATAGATCGAATATCACATGATGATATATTTGATATATGGATCAAGATATCATATTTTAGCAAACAATTTACAAACCATCGAATATCACTTTTAAACTATCGAATATCACATCTTAAATAGAGGATATCCTATGATTTTTATCCACGAATGGATATGATATCTGCACGAGTGAGCGTAGCGAGAGAGTGTAGATATCAACATCCATGAGTGGATTAAAATCATATCACGAGTAAATCATAGGATGTTCTTTATATTCCATAGTTAAAGTCATCATCAGAATCGTCGGGAATTAAGTGATTTGAAACAAATTTTCCAAACGATACGGCGATATTGACACTTAGCCTCGTTTTGAGTCTGAAGTAGCGAAAATCCATAAACCATGGCATACGGCGCCATATGTCATGGCTAAAACACCGTATGCTATGGTTAAGTGAAAATTTGCCAAAAATATCATATTTTACCACTGATTTCAAAAATACCGTTTTTATTTTGACATGTTATCCTTTGGATACCATGCTAACTATGGAATAATATAGCAATATCCTATGGCTCTGAAAAAATATCACTTATATCCATGAGTGGATATTGATATCTTCGCGAGTGAGCGCAGCGAATGAGTGAAGATACTGATATCCATAAGTGGATATAAGTGATATTTTTGAAAAACCATAGGATTGTCCGTTTATCCCATTGGGAATTATTATCCAGCGAACATTGAATAGTCAAATAAATTGCAATGGAAATTCCATTTCGTCTGACATTTTGATTGTGATAATTCAACGAACGTCATATACGTGACGTAACAGAGTGGTTTGTATTTAATGCGAACGCCGTAAAATCAAGATCCCAAAAAATAAAAATATATAATAAGTATATAAACAATCGTTTTGCTGAATTAATAAAAAAATTGAAAAAATCAAAACCATCGAATATCACTTTTGAAACCATCGAATATCACTTTTGAAACCATCGAATATCACCTTTCAAAAAGTGATATTCGATGGTTTCAAAAGTGATATTCGATGATTTGGGAATTGTTTGCTAAAATATGATATCTTCATCCACGTATCAATTATATCTTCACGTGATATTCGATCTATATCCTTGTAACCATGGGATAAATAAGGGTTATGTACTGGGAGGTTTTGGATATGCGGTTTTTCCAGAGGGAGATATGCATATCTACCTGAGGGACCGTAGGGACAGAAAGTAGATGTGCATATCTCACGAGGGATGAACCCAATATCCAAACCGACCGTACATAACTGCTTTATCCTATACCAAGTAGAGTTTTCAGTAGTACAAGGTGTAAAAAATAAACAAATCATTTATATGCAAAGTCATTTTATTGCATTTCCACTTTTTTGGAAGCGGGAAGATACGCCCCGAAGCGGGAAGATATGCACCGAAGCGGGAGATATGACGGGAGATATGGAGGTTCTTGATATGTAAACCTCAAAATCAGGATACGGGATATATCTTACCAACTTATCTCCCTAAAACCCTACTTGGCATAGGATAAATCAAGATAATTTCTACTCGCATCTAGTCTATTCTTACCTTCCTCTAAGGCCACTGTATCGTGGCCTTCCAGTAAAGATATATTCCTGCATGAACAACTGGTCATGTCGTAATCATAAAATTTGAAATCATATGTCCGCCATTTTTCCACATCACAATTTGAATTGCGAGTTTTGGTCTTATTACCTCACCAAAAATTCCAAAACACACATAAAGTGATCAGTGTATTAGTTCACATCTTCTGGATCGCTAACTTAGAATTTACAGCCAGTTACTAATGTCAGACGTTAACGACATTTCGTCCAGTTTTCGAACATCGCCATT